TTCCTTCCATTCAGTGCTTTCTGTGGACACAACCGATCTCCCAGGCCTCGACCATGGGTCGTGGGATGTCATGAGCCTTCACTTGGACGAAAGACATGTGTTTTTTCTGTGAATGAACCGTTTGCCATGGCAGGTGGAGATCTTGATGGATGCGGCCATCTACAATGAGGCGATGGCCGCAGCAGCGTGGTTGAACGGAGGGTGGAACCAGTCGATGGCCGCAGCAGCGTGGTGTGAGAGTTCCCGGTTGGACAAACCGGACTGGTCAGGAGGGTTGGACTGGTGTTTTCAGATCTGGACCTGGAACCCAAACTTGCAGGGGGACAGCAGTGTGATGTTTTTATTGTTTTGTGGTGTGTGTGTGTGTGTGTGCGTGCGCGCATGGGATCAGACATGCCGTTTTTGTCCATCCGGATGAATTGGGTTCAAGGCTTAGTGTATTGAGTATACGATCTCCACGCCCGGAAGTAGAGTAGTTTGCATGAGATCTCTTTGGTCTATATATATATATAGAGATAATTAAGAATCGTGGACAAGTAGAGGTACCTGGCTTGGAGGCCCTTCTGCTAAATCTACAGCGGATCAATAACTATCCACAGAAAACTGTGGGGAGCACAGTTCAACCCAGGAAGAGACCCACGTGGAACCTGAAAATGGACCTTTGGAAGACTGTTTTCCTTACAACCCAGTGGTTTTCAGCTTTCATGTTAATCTTCCACTTTAACTATAACATACTTTATACTATTATATAAACTATATGGAGGCAGTGCATTGTGCATCCATGATTTTCTATTGTTACACAACATGTTCGTTGGGGGGGTAGTTCATTGAGATCCACTCCATGGGTACTTGGGATACACGGCCACACGGAAGCGGCCAGACGGATCACATGCGCTCGGTCTCTGAGAACATTATCTTCGGGCAGCTGGTCCCGGTTACGGCACCCAGACCCGTCGCTTTGGGGTCGGGGCGCCAGGGTGTCCACCGGGTGGACCCAAAGTGAGGAGTTTGGGCAGTGGCCATTTGGTAAAGGAGTGGTCACGATTTTTTGAAGAAGGCCTGCGGCCTAACCGTACCGTCATCGTCCTCCTCCTCCTCCTCACCCTCCTCCCCATCCACCACTGTTCCTGGTAGCGGGATACACCCAAGATATTGTGTGATATTACTGTGAGGAGAGAAATGCATGCAATCGTCAACCAGATCACGAGGTGTGCAGTGATATGCTTTGTTATTACTTCCACCAGTCCCTGCCCGTTTGTTCGGGTTGGAGTTTGGGGGGTCCGTACTGACGATGCCCTCAAATTCCTCACTCCAGGGTCCATTGTTTCGCTGCGTTCTCGGCATACCCAGATCGGAACTGGGAGCTTCGACCTTCACATGGATGACAAGACCACGGAGCCGCACTTGCTGAGCGAAGCGATGCGAAGCAGCGAACATGCACTCGGATCACGTGTCCGGTTCATGACTGGCAAGTGCAGAACCAGGACCAGGACCAGCTGAGCAGTTTGTCCCTGTTTTCGACTTAAAAAGGGGTGTTAGACCAATTGATTCCTTCTCAGGCACTTCGACCCCATCACAGCCCACCTTTGCTTGTGGCACTGTGGCACAGACGCTCGTGCTTCATTTAAGCAGGAAAGAGGCTTTTCACGCTTTGGGACAATCTCCCTCAGATTGGATCCCTTATGACCCCTCTTTTCTTTGGAAACAGTGAGCAAGCATCGCCTGCGTAGGGTCATCGTAGTTGGTGATTTTGGGGTTCCTGGATGAGGAGGCTACCTCAGGAGACGGGTGAACCTCGGGAGCTCAGGTCCTCGGGTAAAAGATGCATATTGACTGAGGTCCTCATATGAACATCACTTATAGGATACGGGATATACATGTATGATTCATCATGTATGCTTGGGACACTGATTTCATTTTTGGGAACGTATGGCAACACTCCTCCAATTTCAACCATTTGTCGTGAGAGAATGGGCTCTTCGGTGCACCAATATGGTGAAGAGCTCGACCTGACCTCTATGGTGAAGCCAGGTGACCCTTGATAGGCTCCAAAATGGCCTCCAGACTTGGCCAGATCGGATCACCCCGCGGCCGCTGGTCGTCTCCAGGAGAACGACTTGAACCCCGCCTGCGCGCTGGATCATGCGACCGTGGTGGCACCACCCAGAGAGAAAGCGTGGCGGGCGGAGTCTGGAGCGAAGCATCAAAGCAACAAAAGTCCATATTGGTTTGGGGGAAGATGTCGGGGGAGAGAGAGATAGAGAGAGAGAGAGAGTGTGTGTGTGTTTGAAGGTCTTGCTTTAAATATCTTTAAATTTAGTACGGAGTGTTCATGTTCATCAAGGCAGTTGTCACGATTGATTCATGTTGATTATAGTTAAAACAACTCTTGAGGCGCAAGCCCCTTAGCACCATCAATCACTGATATCGCTGATGTCATCCCTCCGAGCGTTCCTCTTCAAAAACGCGTAATGGCAACTGCGGAAGGAAATGATACCAGCCCTGAAGAGCACACACAGACACGCACCTGACGTGTGTTTGATTTTTGTTTGACACTGCTCAACTGAAGAGACCGGTCAGCTCCAGTTCTCAGTAGAACCTTGGCAGTACTTCACAAAGTACTTCATCAGCCTGGAAGAGCAAGAAGTCATGGAAGTCTAGAACCTTCCGTCCGAAGCCTCACCATCCTTTCCCATGCTTCACCCGTTTCAGTCCTCAAAACCGTTCACCCGTGGTGTTTGGCGGAAGCTCGGCAGCGACGCACACCGAGCGGAGAGGTTTTGCCCTCCAAGTTCAAGAGCCGCGAGGTGAGCAACACATCGGTCAACCGCGTCGTGGGTTTCACCGGTGGACCGGTGTCCTGGTCTGGACAACACATGAAAACACCATGACTCATCGGGGCGACCTGTCCTGGTTGCGAATTGAGAGGTGCTGTAGTCTTTGAGGGAGAACATCAAACATTTGCCACTACTAGACTATATCAAATAACGTACTGTAGTATCCTTTTCCGTGTTTTATGGATGTGATAGATTGTACTTTATGGATGTGATAGATTGTACTATATAGTATGTTGCTTCAAGCTTCAGTGAATCGATCTCAAGCCTCGGTTTCCGGACCAAGGGCTCTTCTGCTGCGGCGCGGAAGAACCCGGGAACCGGAGCCGGTTCCGAGACCCACATGGAATCGATTCGAATCTTCCAGAGGTCCATCCTTCCAGGTGTGTGGATCTCTTCCCGGTGTATTGTGGATCGGAGGCCAAAGCGTGAGAGCCGTGTCTTTTCTCTCTTTCCAGACCCGGCGATGGGTCAATTTTCCATGAGATCAGATGGAACTCCCAAGACACCCAACGTCGTTTGGGCGATTAAGTTTTCACTCCAAGACGTCTTAAAACTGATAAACTGGAACCTTCAACCTTCCCGGTATTTGGTTGTTTTTTTACACTATGATATTTTTTGGGGGGTTTAATAGAATGTATAAAACTGTACCATAAACAGTCTCTTTAGTCAACTGCCCCATTGCCCCGGCGTCGGGACCGAGTGCACGGTGATCGCGACCGCCAGACCTTTGGAGTGAACAGTCCCATGCCACACCAGATCGACGCGGAGTCCTTGCCGGACCGGGGGGGGGGGGATGGGCCAGTCACTGGGCGCCCGGATCGATGGACCAGTTGACTGGGCTGGAAAAAGGATTGGGTGCAGTGCTTGGTGCTTGCTTGGTGCTTGGGTAAATCCCATGGTGGCAGCGCATGGTCTGCGCTGGCGATGTTTTTGGGGTTTCACAAGGACACGCCGGGTCCCCATGGACTTGGCGGTGTATCACCCTGAAGGGCGTTGCGGCACACCATCAACTGTGTACATGCAAACGTGCAAAAAACAATATGTTGGTGAAAACCTTGACATCCCATGTAAGACATATGGTTTATTTATATATTTACCTATATAAATTGGGCTGGTTGAAAACGGAGTCAATGTCGGTAAATATAATGTCGACCTATCATTAAGCAAATCCCAAGACCAAATACTAAGCATCCCCTAAATAAAGCGGCTAAATGTATTCACCCCTGGACCTAAATATCCCAAAATCTATCCTTGAAAAAGCCTTTTATGTAGTGTTTGTGCCTTTCAATTTATTATTCCTTATCTTACATCCTTCCCTCTGAATTTCATCCCTTGGACCCACCAAAACCCAAAACCTGCTGATCAAACTTGTTTGTGAATTCCTTATTCAAAACCCACCAACAATTGACCAGAATCAGTCTGGAAAGGGTACCCCCCTTGAAGCAACCATACCATAGATATAGTGTACCCGGTGTGTACCCTAAATACAGCTAACGATTTTTGCTGGCAGAACAATTACTGTATCCACAATACTAATTGTCCTTTGATCTCAATTCCAGAAATCTCTCCCCAAAATGTTTTTGTTTTATCTCAATTCCAGGAACCTCTCCACAATACTAATTCCATGTTCATTTCAATTCCAGGAACCTCTTCCCAATACTAAATGTTTACCATTGGATTCCTTGCTAATCTAGCTTCTAGCCATATATAAGTAAAGCCAATATTTCAGACTATTTAAGGTCACCTGAGAGCGGGGGGGGCCTCCCGTTTCTTAAGCAGAGGTGGACATTAAGTAAATCTTCTAGTCCCATAGGGGCGTTTGGGTGCTCGACATGGCTCATGAGGGTCGAGCCAGTCAACAAGGGTCGCATGTTTGAAAGCCCATGGAATCAGGACCGGAGGCGACGGACGAACAAAGAAGAGCACAACAATCAAAACGACCTCAAGCTGCACCACACATACAGGGGGGACTGACTGGTTGCAGCTCTATGCAGCTCTTTGTGATGGAAACATTATGCTTTTTGTCAAGATGCCCCACAGAAATGTGTGTTTGTTTGTAAGTGTTTGGAGTGGGTTCCAGGTGGTGCGAGACATACAAGACCTTCTTCCAAGACCTTCTTGCGACCAGATCGACATCCTGCGCCACCGCAGGCTGAAACGCCCATGGAGGAGCACTAACGGTCGTTTCACGCGTTGCTTCGTGTCGGGACGTAGAGCCTGGAGATGCTGCAGGGGCCACGTGACACAACGTGTCGGCAACGATACTGCTTCATAAATTAATATATATAAATTTATATATATATATATAGATTATAAAACATTCCTCCGAGTGTTTGAGTGACTTTGAGTGTTTTGGAGTGTGTATAGATGTCTATATATAGATTCAATTCCAACAAGAATCCAACATTATGTTTGAGAAGACTGGAACATGAAGAGTGCTTAAACATACTTACACTTACTGATCTCACTTACTACTGTACGTATTGTTCCTGGCAACCAAAAGGCGAGATCACTTCAAAAGACGAGTGCCCAATTTGCTGTTAGAATAAGTCAAACGTAGTACACTATTGATATACAACACGTGATATTGAGACATGATAGGCATGATCGAGTCACCCAGAATGTTGTGAAGTTTTGCAGTTGCAAATTCTCATTCCGAAGGCGGAACAAGCAGCCAGTGCTGGTCAAAAGTCGTTGTTCAGTCTCCAAACCATTGGTATATAGTAAACCCATGTAAACCCCATTTCAATATATTTCAATCAACAGAACAGCTGCCATTTGGATCCATTTTTGTTTGTTCCATTCTTTCGCAGGTCTTCCAAGTACTCCAAAACAAAAATGATCAAAATCACGTCTTTCGTGAATCGGCCCTGGTGGGGCCCCCGGTTGCTGTCAGGAGACACACCAGGACCTGATCCCCACGACGGGCGGCACCTATGCCAATTTGGGAACGGTGGAGGCCAAAACGCCCTAGTAGCTTCTTGTTCCTAGTAGTGAGGCCAGGAGCCCCTAGTAGCGTCCTTGCTCCTAGTAGCGATGCCAGGAGCCCCTAGTAGCTTCTTGTTCCGTCCCAAAAATCACCGCGATGGTTCTGAGAACGAAAAGAATTCTCCTGGTGGACCAGGGGAGAAAACCGAGCAACTGATCCTAAAAATGAGCGTTTTTGTTGGAGGACCTGTGAGTGGGGTATGTAACATGGGCGGAAACCAGCTTGGTAAGTGTGATTGAACTTCCAAGAGAGCAACATGGGCCACATCCTGTACCATCTACCACCTCACATGATTCTTGGATGGTGCTGCAAGGGGGGGCGAGCCTTACTTGAGATTTGCTCATGGCAAATTGTCGGAGATTGAAGAAGTTTTGCTGGACTTGTAGAAGGCTAACCTCCCGGAATCAACCATATAATTTATATCGTAAACCAACCGAGAACAAAGTCTGTCCTTGCCATACGCTTTCGATCCTTTCGTTCAAACAAAAAGTGTAGATGCTGCCATTTGCCTGTGCATCGAACCGCCTCTTGGAGGTGTCTCCTGGCAGTACACCGCGATTCCAGCAAGTAGGCAAAGTGATGGGCTGTGTGTGATATACGCTGACAGAGTGGGATTGGAACAGGATGGGAGGCTGAGAATTCAGGGAAAAGAGGTTCCCAAATGATCCCAAATGTACCAATCACATAGACCCCACCGGACATGACAAACTCCATATTAGATTCCAATTCCATGCTGTGGGTCGGTTTTCTGAGCAAAAGAGAAGGGGGGGGTGACAACCATGACCATCCCCATAGAGAAGTTTACAAAATACCTGGACCCCCAGTCGGGGTGGTTGATGGACACCCCTTGACCTCTTGTCGGGGCAAAAAAAATGGACACTCGAAATCCATGGTGCGTCCGATCTTGTTGCAGGTCACTTGCACGCTGAACCGCAGTCCGATGCCACCGCTCCGTTCACCCGAACCCGAGAACCCGGGCGACCGGTCCACCGGTCGGTTCGGACGGTTCGGGACGCGGTCAGGCAAGTTGGACACTCCCCTCGCCAGGGGCACCCAGCTGCAGCGAGTTCCGGACACGGGTCCGGAGGAGCCAAGCATGACGAAGATGACCTTTGTTCATTGGGTGGCCTTTTTTCATTCAAAGAGTCCTGAGCATCCTCAAAGAAAGCCGAGCTGTATTCATTGGGTGGCCTCCTTTGATTCCTTCAAAGAAAGCGGAGCATCCTCCATCATGTTGGCACATTCGGTTGCAACACGTTTGTTGCCAGCTCAAAGCCAATCAGCGTCCGTTGGCCTCTTCAGCCACACACCTGCGGTCTCAGGAATTGTGCAAACCATGGCCAATCAGTTCATCCCCAAACTCCAAAAAAATGCTATGGTGATCTTGATACTTCAGCCTTCAGCCTTTGGTGTGTTCATCTTCGCCATTCCGCCGCCATCTGCCCCCCCCCGACGACGACCACTGGGTCAGCAATCCCCCGTCGGTCAGCACTTCACCACCCGAGGCCACTCCCGGGACCATCGGTACGCAACAGTGCGCCATCGGGTCCTTCCCTCCGCATGGCGCAGTATAGGGAGGTTTCGGTCCAGCCCCCTGGAACGTTCGTGCGAAGGACTGAGATGCGGATGGGTTCCCTATACAGGACGGTTAGACCTTTTTGGGTGTGTGATGGGTGTGTGTCTTTTAACAGGGAGACCTTCTGGCCCCTAACGGATAGACCGGGTAATTTGCTATTTTCCTTCTTCCTGGGGGTCAGCAACAATTTGGGTTTGGGAGGGCTCCCTACTGGAATACACGACGCCCATGTTGTATAGACTCATTGGACGATCACAGCAGCGTGTGAGAGCTGGCATGTCACATGTCACAGCTGAGCTCGAACATACCCAGCACTCCAATGGACTGGCATACATCCCAGTCCTTGGGGAGTTCCTTGGGGCGTTTAAAAAAAGGGTCAATGTAGACATGCATTCTCAGACAACACTCAAGTAAACCATCACTGCAGTGGCTGACGACTTGGTGTCAACATACTCGTCAAGCATTTTGGGGCGGGTACGTATGTAGTTGCTGGTTGAACAAGTGGAAAGCTATCTCCTCGACGATTCAGATTTGGCACAATTGAAGCCGTATGTTTCTCACCCCCAAATGGAAAGGGTTTTGAAGGTAAGACCGCTGTAGTCGTTGCTCATTTTGAGTCGTTCGGAGGATCAATCACCAGAAGCCTTCCATTTCATGTCCGACATGCAATTATAAACCCAAGGGATCCAAAGGAGAAGTTTGGCAGAAATAAGTTGCATGCCAAAATCCACTGACAACAGAGACTTCTCATAGACTGTATACCAGGACATCCAGTACCATCCGGACTACCCAGCCGATGGATCCACAGAACTGAACACCCAGACCGCAGAGTCCTGGTACTAACTAGTATACTAGTTAGATACTAAGTGGAGGCCATCGCTATTAGGGTGGAGGCCATTCCTATTAGCCTCCTTTTGCTAGCAACAAGAAGCTTCCAACCTGCTTCCTCCGCTCGTTGCCCGTCTCCACGACTCCACGTCCCGCGACCGCGCTCGCACCCTCTCCGCCACAGCGACCGCGACCCACCGCGACGCCAGCGTCCTAGCCGCCCCGACCGCGACGCGCCGACTTCAGTCGCTTCAGGCGGGGTGGGTAGAGGGTGGATGGAAGTCCAAGGGCCGGCACTTGAAAGAGAGGAATTGGAACACAGATCCAGATTGAAGGTGGACTTCGGTTCGAAGCTTTTGTTGTCACGACATGCTACTATAGTCTTTTTGACCCAGGTGTTCTCCCCTTTGGTCCGGTGCTTTTGATCGTTTTTTCCAGGCCGACGATGGCTGCTACCTTGGTCGGGGAACTCGGAGAACGCTTTGCTGAACGGTTCAGGGAGGTGTTTCTGTGTTTTTTCTAGATGGGAGGTCAGGGATTTCTCAGCGAAACCGCTCATGATGATTTTGTTGCGAATTGTGTTTGAACTCGATCTAATTATGAGAGGTGTGGTGTTAACTGGTAGCTTTTGGGTTGGTTTCTTCCCACTGGTGATTCGCTGGAAGACTCCAGGAGTCTTCAAGTCTTCCAGATGTCGGGGCACAAGCAGCAGAGAATTGGTGAGCCACTAGCTCCTTAGTGCCATGTCATAAGCAGATAGCATGAGATAGAAAGGTCTGGCCGCCTGGGTCGACTCTCCCACAGCGGCGGACCCCTCGCGGCAGAGTTTTTTTCGGGTCTCTCCAAGGTCGTCCCATCTGACATCACCATTTTGGAGGAAAAGAAGACCATCGGCAAGCCGGGGTGCTTGAAGAACTCTGAAGAACGTGGAAGCTGGGGTGGTGCGGGAATTTGGTCAAACAAATCCAGGGCATGCATAGGACATAGCAATGCTGATGTTTTCTGATCATATTGCTGACTAGTTCGGTGGGAGCCTTTGCTTTGGAAGACCTGGGGTGGACCTGGGGTGCTAGAAACCAAGTGATTCCATATGGGAACTAGATGGAACTACAAGGATAAAACTAGACTCTTTTTGGGGGAGGCCAGTGGTTCTCAGCTCTGCGTAGGTTTGTGTTGGTTGGAGGCTGTGAGGCCGCAGGCCGAAGTGGGCTTGATAAACATGCTGGGCAATAGAATATTGCTGCTATGAATGAAGCAAACTTCCTTGAGATGGAGTATATTTGATTCTTGGAATGTTCTGATTTTAAAGTTCTTGACCTTCGCCAACTGGATGCTTTCAGATCTTCCACATTTGTTGAAAGTGGAGATTCCCAGCATACTTGCCTACATTTGAGGGTCTAAGCCTAAGCAATTTCAAATGAGTATCCCCCAAGAAGTTTCGTAGAAGTACTTCTCCCCTATGGCCCACTCGGAGATTCAGTAATTAGGGTATTCCTATCCATTCCCGGAGACAATGTCCCCTCATCCGGTCCCATCGGACACACAGGGAAGAGTACTCGCATCCCTCCAAGGCGCAAGTTGTGGCCATGGGAGATCACCGGGCTCCTGGGAATGGCCCGGGCTCCTGGGAATGGCCCCGTCTGCTGAAAGCTGGTTGAAGAGGTGCTGGTGGGATTCCTGTCGGGTGACCACCCAATGGACAAACCCAGACGACTTATAGGTCTCCATTGGACCAATTGTTGGGAGCGCTAGGTGAATATGTGATGTATTGGTAATGTGATGTGGATAAATGTTCACATTGCAACAATAACCACTCCTGTGAAAATGTTGAGGTTTAAAACCATGCTCGCCGCAATAACATGGCCAATAATTAACTACTCGCAATAATAAACCTCGGACCTTATAGCTGGACAGCCAGAAAGAGAGGTGTACAGGAGAAAGAGAGGTTTCTTATTACAATAGTAGTCGAACATAACAACATAATATTGCAATACAGCAGAAAGTTGCGTTTATTGTTGCAATAGTTCGAGGATCTTTTTGTGGTACAAGATAATACTTGGTTTATTGCTGTAATCTAGGAGACAGTTGGAACAAACAAACGTAAATTATTGACAAGTTATGCCGATAGCTCTATTCCTAGCTATAAGAAAAGTGTCCGCCTCAAAGGGGGGGGCTCGAGGCACTTGATGGCACCGGATGCGCATTTCGACCGGCGCATCCGGTGGGTGACTGCGACCCACGAAAGAGGACGTTCCCTAAACCCCCAAGAAGAGTTTTTTTGGGTGCAACCAACCCATGCGTTGAAGAATGCGTTTGATCATGGCATTGAATGGCTTTAAGTCTTCGGAACCATATAAGTGCATTGGATTGGGCAGGATCCACTATAAGTCATCCGACTCTGACAGCTTAGGCGGTGGGTCGTTGACCCAAAACATGTGTGTTCCGAAACGCAGGCGCCCATGCTGCACATTCACTACAGCAAGTCGAAACCTCAAGGAGATGACCCGAACGTGAAAAAGCTGAGTCAACCGAAACACAATGAAGTTGCTGCTTTGATTTGGACACGCCTGGGATGGGATGTGGATGGCCTATGGCCGGACGCGAATTGGAAGATTGCGCTGCACTACAAACCGTACCGTGTTACGCCTGGATTTTTCTTGGTGTATAAAGGGGGTCCACCAAATGTCCGTTGGTGAAACACTTAAGCATGTCTATTTCCGGTGCTTCATGTATAGATACTGGATATTACTGGATTATATGACGTGTGTTCTGGGATGGCAACAGCTGTGGCAGGTCACTCATGCATGTGGTTTCAGAGCACTGCAGCCCTGGCAGCTGGGAGGTTGGACCGTGGCGACAAGCGGCAGATCCTCTCCCGGAAATACGACCCGGATGTGCGGGGCTCCAGATTGTGTGCGGAGGTGTGCGGTGTTGAACTGGAGACCTTTCAGCGAGCATAGCGCTGAGCCGCCTGCATGAAGAACCAGGGCATGAATGTGAGAAATCTTGATTGGGATATGTTTATTTTGGCTGTTGCACAAATCAGAGCGCAAACCACTCGACATCATGTTGCAACATGCTGCAGCACTCCTTCGATGGATAAATTTGGATCTGATTATTCAATTGTACATGTCTGCAATTCATGCTCAGCGGATGTTCGAGCCAGTTGGCCACCGTTCCAAAATCACCCGAGTCTGGGGTCTAAGGTGTCGAATGTCACTTCCGTCGTGGAAACCACGCGTCCCGCGGCGGCGCAGGACACCTCTGCGGCCAACCAGGTCTGCCAGCTCCGGCAGGAGGCCGTGCGCAAGGAGGCGCGCGGACACGTCTCGTGTGGTGTGGGAGAACGCGGAGCAGGGGAGCAGCATGAGTAGTGTTGTTTTTCGATTTTAGGATTTTTTGACTGCTGCCAAAACCTCCAATGAAGGCAGCATCACTACATTGAAGACTATAAGTATAAGTAAAGTGAAGGAAACCTTCAGGAACGATAAGGTTCACAGAAAAAAAACCGATAACGTTGGGAAGAGTGCGCACTACAACACATAAGAGGTTTTGCACGTCGCTCATATAGTGTACGGACTGTGCAGGCCACGGGGCAAGAAGAACACCCTGTTTCTTTGGTATGTTATTTCGAAACATTTCGGGTCATCTCAGACTCAACCTGAGAGTACTTATATTGCCTTTCCAGGAAACAGGCGGAATCTAAACGAACTCATGGCGCCTCAGAGCCTGGATCCCCACCATCGGACCAAGGGACCCTCCGACTCAGCAGTCACCCGACCAAGTGCAGAATTCAGCTGGGAATGAATGAATGAATTGGAAGATGCACTGCAAAAGAACATCATCCATGTCATCCATTCCCAACATTGAGGCTGCAAAAGGCCCTCGTTGCCATCGTTGAAGTCCCAAATGTCACACTTTCCATGGTGACAAGGAGGCCATGAATGGTTATCCAAGGCCGTGAGTCTTCGAACCATGTGGAAAACCTCCGGGATCCACACCGGTTTCACATGCACACTTCACACTCCCTGAAACGTCCTTTCGCCCGGTCGCGTCCACACCGTAGGTCGTGGCCACGAACGTCATGTGGGACACCGCGTACCACGTCCTCAGTGGGTGTGACCGTCCTT